CGATCGAGGGGTGCCACCAGCAAGGATCGAGAGAACCAACGACGATCGCGAGATATCTGTCGGCGGTATGCACGTGGATCACCACACAATGCCCGACTTTTTCCCCCCGAATTTCGAGGTCATAACAAAACGACCGTGTTGCCGGCCGGTCGTACGGCCATATTGTCGCCTCCTCTTTCTCTTTCTCTCTTTCTCTTTGCTCTCCTCGCCTCTTCATGCTCCCTCCTCGTTTGTCCATCACCGGTCCCAGCTGGTCGTCTTTCTCCCGTCCCCGTGGCACCCCTCCTCGCGTCTTTCTCGCGCCACCAGAACCAGCAAAAATCAATGCGACGTAACATGCGCCCTGACACCCGGATCTTCCGGTGTACCGACCGAACTTTCACTTTTTCATCCGTTTTCTTTATTATTTACCCGAGAGTAAACTTGAAACTTCTTCTCCCCCTCCCCTTCCCCGAATATATATATTCGCTTTGGAAATCGAGGAAAGGAAGAAGAATCGTTCGAGGAGGGAAATTTAATGAATTTGAGATTTGAGATCGATTCGAAGAATGGCGAATATTAAGAGAGAAAACTAGGGCAAGGTTGCACGCTCTGTGGATAACGTTTCGAATCGTTCCCCTCGAGAACTCAATTAGCGTTGATCGAAGGAAACGAAGGTGGTTACGGGGTTCGATGGGAATGGACTCGTTCGATCGAGCAGCGCGTGTAAAAAAAAAAGAAAGATGGCGAAGTGACGAAAGAGAAATTGCCTACTGTTGGTACAAAGTCAGGGTCGCATCGCGTATGCGAAATTCCGGTATCCGTCGGTAAAGGGCAAGCGATGGGGGTGCAAGGTCGAGGGAGAAAATCGATGAGGAACTCGGTGGAGACGATAGATCAGCTTGGCCTGGTTTTTCACCCTCCGAATAGAGAATTCCCTGGTCGGTAACGCAGTATCGATGATATTTTTGGGCTCGATAGAAAATTTTCCAATTTTTCTCGACTCTTTTTAAATTCATTGCGAAGTTTAAACACGAAGTTTAAAAAACAATCGCTAAATCTTTCTTTCTAAAAACGTTAGAGAGACGCGCCCTTTTAAATAAATCCCCCCAAGGGAGGAAAGATTTAATTTTTCGTCCACGCTGATAGATGGAGGATCAAGTAGTAAGAGCCCTGGCTCGACGCTAATTCTACCGGAATATGGATATTCTACTTCGCAACTTATGCACGAACTTCTAATTAACCTGGTTCACTGAATTTCACGTCTCGCAAAATAGAACTTGAAATTTCCCGGGGTAGAGATTCGGGGGCAAGGTTTTAAAAATGTCAAAGGTACCCACATATCCGCACTGCTGTTTTCATTATATACACCATTTCTCTCGATCGATCAAACGAATTGATCTTTCGTTGCGATGAAGAAAGTGCGAATTATTTTTAAACGAATTCTTCGAACAATTTCCAACGACGCAATTTACAACGCAACACCCGATATATATATATATATATATAGAGAGCGGCCGAGACGAGTCATTTCGAAGGGAAAGGAAGCAAGGTCTCGCTAGAAAGACGTCGTTATCACTCGCTAAATTAATTATTTATCCTTGGTATCTTGGAGCTGGTTGGCCGAGCGTTAACCGAGCGACACCAGCGTCCCGTTAATAGCCATCAGGCGTGATCATTTACACATGGAATCGATCGGGCGCTCGTGAACAACGACATCGAAGCAGACAGGCAGAACCGATTTCCTAGCGTTTCGATTTCTCTCATCGACCTGAATTGCTATTTACGAGCTCAAGGAAACGTTAACGAGTCGAGAATCGAGAGGCACGATCGGTTGTTGTATCTCGAAGAAAAACTGGAGGAGGGATCTCTCCACGATTGTAATTTATTCTCACCTTGTCCTCCGCCTCGTCGGCTCGACCCTCCGCTTCCAACACTCGCTGCTCGAGTTCCGAGAGCTGGAAAAAAAAGAAGAGAAAGATCAGCTAACATTTTCTTTCTTCTTTTAGATCGAAAATCGTAGTAAATTTTCTCTTAATTTAAATTTTAACTTGTCGAGAACAATATTTTTCTTCTCAACTCAGTTTTTTTTTTTCGCAAAAATTCGATCGAAACGACGATCTTCCAAATCTCGAATCGTCCCGATTCGCGTACGCTCCGCATCTATTTCGGCGTAAATGTTGGATTTTGGGTTTGAAAAGAGCGCGGTAGACGCGTGTACGGGGGAGAAAAAAATGAAATATTCATAATCCGACGAGATATCGAGAAGCGAAAGGGAAGAGAGAGATTTCCACGACGGTATCTCGCCGTCATCTAATTTTCCTTCCAGCGGGAAAACTTCCATCAAAGTTGCTCAAGTCCATAGCCCGATGGCTGGATGCCTGGCTGACGAGAGTTTAATGGATACCATGGACTTAAGCGGTACCACGAAACTTGCTTGATCCGTCAAAGATTGATACGAGCGCCTCCTCCGCCACGACGTGGACATATTCCCGTGGTCTACCAATCTTCAACGGTAAACCGACGTTTCCTCCTCCGGCGATTGATTCTTCCACTAAACGATACCAAATTATACTCGAATCTAAATTTAAATCTAAATTAAACGAATCAAAATTAAAACACCTCGAGCGTTCCACGATCCATCGAGTCACCATTGGGATTGTTGCGGCGACAATATTTATTTATTTTTTGATTCTTTTAGAATATCGCTTCATAAATAGGTTCCTAAATCCTTCACGTATAATCTTATGAGTAAGTAATCTTATCTTATGAGTAATTATCTTATGATAATCTTACGAGGCCACCGAACACATCGAATGCGTAGATCTGAGTCTAGAGTTGCTGGTTCGACCGGGCGAAACAGGCGTGGAAAGGGTTAAGTTCCATTAAACGGACGAAAGCTAAAACTCGATCTCCTCGGCCGGTCTCCCAGAAGAGTCGTGCAGGGAGGTCTGTTTTCTCTCCGCGGCAACTGTTCGCAAAAATAATGGGTAATTCATTCGATACGCGGCCGTGATTTAAGTCTCCCCGGAATTAGCAGGGCGTCCCATTAAACCGAGGCGGACTCTCCGCGCTGGTTCGCTCTTTCCACCGTTGAAAACCGGCTAAAAAGTATCTCCCGCGGTTGACCCCCGGGACACTATGAATTGCTCTTTAAACCCGCGCCTCGACCCGTATATTAACCTCCGTTTTAATTAATCACCGCGGCCGGGCCGGCCAGGGCGACGCCTGCGTCGTTTTCGCGACGCGCGTGCCGCGAACACCGAAACGAAACTTATTATCCCGTTATTCGCGCTCCAAAATTTCTCCTCCCCCAAATTTATCTCGCGTGTGCGTTTACACAACAAGGGCCAGCCGCCGATCAAATAACCCGCCGCCTACCTACGGTTAACGAGAGAACGATTCATCGTCGCTCGACAATTGACACGGGTGAAACGTGCGAAACCATCTGGTGGCGAGGGCCGTTCGAAACGCGGTGCATACTTTAGTGCACGCGTCGGCGATGTATACGGGCAGTGGAGAGTGGCGAGTGTTAACGAGTGTACCGATGTATCACGGTTGATCGGTAAATAATAGGTGCCCAGTTGCGCATTTATAGCAAACGAAAAGCGAGGGTTGTGCCGTGGCAATGCATTAGTACTGTGGCAAAAGATAGAGAGAGAGGGAGAGAGAGGGAATAGGCGAGGTCCTCCAATTACAGGAAGCGAGTTTTCCACCGATAGATAAGCGCCGCCAGCAGGCTTGCCAATCATCGGTGATGAAAGAGGGAGAGCGACGCGTTGGGTCGACGACGCGAACAACCGCAAATACGGGGGTGGCGGGGAGCAGGGCGAGGGCAAAGGGCGTCGAACGAGACGTTCGATCGCGGGCCTTCTGGTCTTGGTCGTGCGTGAGAATTGAGTCGCGAGGACGGGCTCGACGACGGGCTCGGGGAAAGAAGCAGGCAGCCGAGAGGATCTCATCAGGAGGGTGCACGGTTAGTGGCATCTGGCGTTGAGAGGGAAGAATAGAGAGAGAGAGGGAGAGGGAGGGAGGGAGAAAGTCAAGAGAGGTATGAAAGGAGGGAAAGAAGGAAAGAAAGGAAGTGGTACGGTATCGAGACACGTAGAAAAGGGGGATTCCTGGAAAAAAGAGGGGGAGGGATAGGCGCGGATTTCCTCTGGCGTTAAAGTCGCGGCTCGACTCGAGAAGAAAGGACGTCTACGACGGAGGGTGAAGGAAGGGTACATTAGCCGCAAACGGGATGCTCGGGGAATCTCTCAAACTGTCGTCAACGCTTAAGCTCTCCCTCTTTTCTCCCTCGACTCGCTCCGATTCGGCAATAACGGCTTATGAAAATCGTGGCCTCTCGTGTTTCGCCCATGTTTCTTTCTTCTTTCCTCGAGGAGGAACGAACGAACGAACGAAAATTTCTCCTCGATCTTTCAACCTAAAGTGACCCCTAAAATGACCTACGAGATCAAACGATTCGTTGTTCGAAAGCTAACGAGAAATTTCTCTTAAATTTCTTGAAGCTGTACCTTGTAAATTCTTTCGAGTCGAAGAAGTCTTTCAAGGGTAGTAGAGTAAAAGTAAAATGTACGGGCATGAGTCATCATCGAGAGAGAACGCATTCGTTATGGGAATTCGTGCGTACTTCTCGGTTGAAACAGGTGACAGTTGGTAAGGAAGAATGAAAGAAGGGAAAGAAAGAAAGGAAGAAAGAAGAAGCAGACTGAACGGTCAAATGAAAACGTCTGCGCGGAGTGGTATTCGATGTCGAGTGCGTCGCGGTATCGTTGGAATTCAAATCGAATCCCTCTCGAGCAGTGGATACCTCGAGTGGAAATACAAAGAAGATTCACCGCGAATTGATCGGACCTGTGAGCAGCAATTTAACAAGCTTCACTTTATTCTTTTCTTTTTTTTTCAACTGGTTACAGTTCGAGGAAACGAACGAGTCTCTTAGAATTCTCTAAAACTTACGAACAGATCTTTGAACCGACGGATCGTTTAACCAAATACACTTAGACGTTTGCGAATGAAAGTTGACTGCGTCTGGCGAGCTCTCGATTATCCGTCAAGGAACAAAACTATTTACCTCGAAGAGAAGTGACTTTTAAATTCCATCGACGAAACGTCGATCGTCGATAGTTCTCGAGACAGACGATGATGATGATTTCGTTAAAAAGCTCGAGGAACGTTGTTAAGAGCCAACGTCATCCGGGGCGAGGAAAAGTGGGCCAAACAAAAGAAGAAGATTAGAACGAACGAACGAATGAACAGCGTTTTATTAAAGGCAAAAGAGTGGCCGAGAAGAAAAGAAAGAAACGATAAGTTTCGTCCCCCATCGTTTTCAAAAGAGGGTGGAAAAAGGGTGGGGAAAGGCGGCGAGATTGGTTCGTTAATGTTATCGGGTGGGTCGCGTGATGCGAGACATAAAGCACGGTGCGCGCCTTCTTGGGTTTCGTTTCTCTTTGTGCCCCCGGCGAATTTATGGCGGGCCGATGGTGTCGCGTGAACGAAAAAGAACGCGAGGGAGTATACGATACTACACAGCGCTGTCACCCTCCCTCTTTGAAAAATCGTCACGCGAATTCACGCTTTGTTCCTCATATATGGATAACGATCACGTCCAATCCAAGAGAATTTCTTCGAAACGCTTCCCCGATCAATGAAACAATCCAACGTGGAATTTTTCATTTTTCCTAAATACTTCTTCTTCTTCTTTTTCCAAGCTACTTTCGTAGTCGCATATTTTACAAACCTTCTAAATTATATCCGACAGATCTTCTCAACGTTTCCCTTCCGGTTAAAATCGCGAGCTGGCTGGCTAGAGGGAGCGGGTGGAAAAGCTGGCGAACGCTTTCATTTTTTATGAAGAGGGGTCGGGGCCGAGCACAGCGTGCAGGTCTTTACGGAAGCGCATTAGCACTTCATGGAGGCTCGGTCGGCCTCCCTCGAAGAGAGAGAGAGAGAGAGAAAGAGAGAAAAAGCTTTCCTTCGACCGAGATCCCCACGGATCGCTCTCCCGTGCCTTGTATATTAATTATTTCGAGC